ATCTATCTCTGATAATCCCAAGTTGCTATGGTCACGCAGGTTTGTTTATGCATTAAACTCGTGGCCACGAGAAAAATATGTTGTTCCCTCAACATAAATAAGGATGTCGTGGCCAAACATATTATCACGTTACCACGAGTTAATATGACGTTCCTACAAATTAATATTTCGAGGCCCTGACATATTATCACGTTCCCACGAGTTAATATCGCGTGGCCATGACAAAACTAAGTGAACCGAACATGTCCCCTTGCAGGTCACTGTAGGAAACATAAATAATGAGCACACTGTTTTAGTATTTACAATATTTTGTTTGTTCTTGAATAAATGTTATGACATAAGAAAAAAAATTAAGATGCTCCAGGAGCATGAACATAAGTAAAAAGCAAGTATTTAAATCAAGACACAATTCCCCCTTTTACACTTCAAAAGTCCAGTGGAATAATTCATAGTATTTTATTAAATAAATGTGGTGACCAGATTGTAAAAGGTGTTAAGTGGTCAAGTTTGACTTCCTCAATATACCATGTTCAAACAGCTTGCAAATTATTGATTTCAAATATTGGTTTCATTATTTATGACAGTAAAATCAATCAGTAATTTATAAAGATTTACTGGTAGCACTTTACATTAATGTTTACTTTGTTAAAAGTTTTTAAAAGATTTCATTATTTTCTGTCTAACCGTTACCCAACACCTGCCATAGATAGACCTCTCTACAGATCACTTTAGAGATCTGTAGGTCAAGTGTGGTAAAGGTGGCATGATAAAGCAGGAAAAAGTTGAGAAAGAAAAATGCATGTGTGTCAGTATATGTGACCCTGGACCACAAAACCAGTCTTAAGTAGCACGGGTATATTTGTTGCAATAGCCAAAAATACATTGTATAGATCAAAATTATCAATTTGTTTTATGCCAAAACTCATTAGGATATTAAGTAAAGATCATGTTCTATGAAGATATATTGTAAATTTCCTACCGTAAATATATCAAAACTTATTTTTTGTTTAATAATATGCATTGCAAAGAACTTAATTTGGACAGCTTTAAAGGTGATTTTCTCAATATTTAGATTTTTTTTTTTGCGCCCTCAGATTACAGATTTTCAAATAGTTGTATAAATATTTTCCTTTCCTAACAAACCACACATCAACGGAAAGCTTATTTATTCTGCTTTCAGATGCAAAAAATTGACCCTTATGACTGGTTTTGTGGTCTAGGGTCACATATTAGATCTGTGCATTTGGTCTGAAAGTGACTGCAGGCTAATAAACCTGGTACTGTCTTCGTAATTAATTGTAATCAAACAACAACAAAAAAAAGAAAATCTCTCGTTACTTTTGACTGAATCACTTTTGCAACTTTAATAGGAATAAATCTATATTGAATTTACACAGTGAAGATAGTTTTTTTTTTTTTTTTTGGACAAACAATTTAAGTAATATTTCACTTGTGATATTGAAATTGATGACAAGAATTATGACATTTTAATGGTATCAAAATTGATATTATAAAAGCCTTACTTAAAGCAAAAATAACTATATTGTGATATAAACTATCACAAAATAAAATTACTTATATGATATAAGATTTTGGTCATCTTGCGACTTTTATCCCTTTTGGACATAAAATAGTGTTCTTGACATTTTTACAGAGGCCTTCAAACAGTCTGAGTAAAATTCAGTATGTCTTGAACCACAGAGCAAAATTCCACATGTTGATGGGGCTCTCAATGGAGATTTGCAGCAGGCCCAGGATAGACAAAGCCGGCTGTATAATATGGGCATACAACTGAATGAATTTGCACTGGGAGATAAAGTACTTGTATTGTTCCCGATATCTAGTTCTAAATTAAGGGGCAAGGGCCCTTTGAGGTCACACAATGAACAACCTTAATCTCCTGAAATGTTGGAATGAGGTGGTACTGATGGTGCTAGCAAAGGCAGTAAGTGGAGAGGAGGATCTTGGATGAAAGGCGTGTGTCAAATCCAATCCTCTTGCTCTGATTTCGGGGGCTCAGCTCACCGATGTAGCCAAGTTGCACACCAAGTTTGCAGATGTGTTCTTGTTCCTACCTGGCCATACAAATCTCATCCATAAACATATTGAGGCAGCCCCTGAGGTGGTGATGCACAGCTGCCCTTATCGACAACCTGAACACAAGTGCAATGTGGTTCAGAATGATGTCTGCCCTGAGAGACAGCTCCACAGCCTGAGTCAGGCTATGGGTGTAAGTGGCAAAAGGGGTGTGGTAAAGTGGAGTCAGCTACAGGAGAATGGGTCACAAGCCGAGTGGTAAGAAAATAGTTCAAGTGTGTGATGATTAACACTTGTCTCTGATTTAAGTAACTGGTGGAGAGAGCAGATAAAGGACACCAACAGATATGGAGAGAGACACTCCTACTTCCTGCCAAGTGATTGTATGCCTCAGAGCATTATTTTGCATTTTGTGCCATACATTTTTGAATGTATAAAAGTTCTCTATGAGTACTCTTGCCCCTTCTGACTTCGCCTTTATATAAGTCAAGACATAACAGTAGTGAGAATAAAACAACAAAATTTTAAACTCACTATAATACTCTATTTTTGCTACATTATGATATTTATCATGAATTTGGTTTTGACATAGGTCTTTAAATGGATAGTTCACCCAAAAATGAAAATTATGTCGTTAATTACTCACCCTCATGTCGTTCCAAACCCATAAAACCTTAGTTCATCCTCAGAACACAAATTAAGATATTGATGATGAAATCTGAGAGCCCTCTGACCCTCCATAGACAGCAAGGGTACTACCATGATAAAATCACAGAAAGGTAGTAAGGAGATTGCTAAAATAGTCCATGTGATACCTTTAATGATATAAAGCTATGAGAATACTTTTTGTGTGCAAAGAAAACAAAAATAATAACTTTATTCAACAAATCTTCTCCACGCCATTTTGGAGAGTATCATGACGCATGCGCGTGCTTTTCCTGCACGTAAACAGTGCATGCGAATGATGCTGCTGACAAAGAACAAGCATGCACTGAGCCTTGTTTACATTCAGAGCAAAGCATGCACATGCGTTGTGATACTCTTCAAAATACCGCCAGGGTGACGCGGAGGAGAAGAATTGTTGAATAAAGTTGTTATTTTTTTGTTTTCTTTGCACACAAAAAGCACCACTGACTTGTCCAGGAGCTCAATGTTGCCCTGATCTAGGTCGGGCAGGAGATCCCCCAGGACACCATCCACCATCTGGATCGATAATCTGGCACACTGGGCCAACACAATTTTTCACAAATTATGCAGGGACAGCCACCCATTGGTTTGTCTTCAGTATTGACAGCGTAAACGCAATCACAATGCTGCATAGACAGAGCGATGACGTATCTTGCTCCGCCTATATAAACATAATATTCACCCCTGGAAATATGTGGAAATATTAGGAAGTCTGTAAACAGGACATTAACAGAGATGGGATGCAAAGTGGAGATAATAGATGTGCTAGCAGAGTGATGGGATGCAAAGAGGAGAAGCTTCTTTGTGCTAGCAAAGAAAATACTGTAGCAAAGTTCTCTACTTGCAATGATTCTAAATACTGAATTGGGGATGGGGGTTCATATGAATCTCTAATGTCTTCAGAAAACTTGGTGTCTTTTTCTTTTCATCTTACCTCTGTGTAATACAGTAGTGGCACCTGACCATAAATTTAGATGGAGCAGATTCTGGGTTACTACCTTTAGCTGTAATTTAATTAATATACAATTATTATTAACTGCTTGTAAGTTTTACATTCAAATCATTGAAAAAAAAAAACATCGAAAACTTTCAAGTGTTGTGATGGTTGTTACTACAGAAGACGACTACAACATTATACTGGTCCAAAAATAGAGTAGAGAAAGAGGTACTGGTTAGCTAATGGTTACCATACTGTACAGTATATATCAGGACAATTATTCAAACAGAGATATCATCCCCAAAGCCAAGCCAATCATTGTTGATTCACCGGCCCTGGTCCATGAGAATTATAATACCATTAATGTATAATTTTGAATATTGAATTATAATTGTGGAATTATGTTCCACCAAACAATAATTATGATTATTTGGATTTCTTGTGCCCCTGCGTAATTCAGTCAGAAGTGGTTACTGCAATTACTGTAATGTAGTATTTATGGTGTTTGAATGTTTAACAACGATGTTATGGAGGAATTCGTACGGTGGCTGAAAGAGCTCAACATGCTGCAACTTAAGAAAACACATGCAAATAGAAAAAGCACCAGCAAATGAAGAAAACACCTTCATCATCAGTTTGACAGCACATGTGCTGCAAATACTCGCAACACAACCAAATACGAAAATGCGCTGCAAAAACAGAAATGCGTGAAAATATGCACAGACCACAACGAAGCCCTTACAAGAATTAACCATGGTTTTACTACAAATAAAACATAAAACCATTGTTACTACAGTTAAATCATGGTAACCACAAATGAACTGTGGTTTTGCTACACTCACTTACCATAGTTTAACCATGATATTTGTAGTAAAACAGTGGTCATACATTTTGGTAGATATGCCAAAAAAAAACAAAAAAAACATGGTTACTTCACTTTTATGAAAATTGTTAATGTTCGTAATGGAAACGTTTCAAGGGGACACCAACAATGCTTGTGAAAATTAAGCATGGTTTTATTATAGTAAAAGTGTAGTAACCATGCTTTTTTTTTTTTTGGCATATTGATTACCATTTGCATAACCAAAGTTGTACAAATACCATGGTTAAACTATGGTTAAGCATGTCTCAGCCATGTTCGCCACTTGCTGCAGTTCGCTATACATTTCCGATGTGGTCTGTGCATATGTGCACTGTGTTTCTGTATTTGGTTGTGTTGTGAGTATTTGCAGCATGTTTCTGTATTTGGTTGTGTTGCAAGTATTTGCAGCATGATTCAGTATTTTTTCGCATTATGAGTATTTGCAGCGTGTGTGTTGTCAAACTGATGATGTTTTCTTAATTTGCAGGTGTTTTTTTCTATTTGCATGTTTTTTTTTTCATTTGCAGCGCGTTGAGCTCTCTTGGCCACCGTGAAGAAAGCTATGTCAATTATTAGAAAAACATAAAACAAATAAAAGAGAAGTATTAATGGACTATTTAAATGAGCACATTAAAACTAAAGGACTTATACTTTAACTTCATCCCCCACCACCTACTATATTAAAGGAGAAAAAACATATTCACAAGCTGACTGCTGAAATGATTCAGAGTGATTTTCACACATTGTTAAAGCAGATTGATTGGTCCAGAAGGTTTATGAAAGGTAACATAAAAAGAAGCAGGGCAGACTCATATCTGCCTATATGGCTCTACATTACAGCACACTGCATTTCCATTTTTCATCACGGATTTACACTGGAAAAATGTGGGTCACTGTTGAGCTCGGGAGGGCAGTGGCACGCTCTGCTCCACTTAGTATGCTAATTACATAGCAAATCTGTCTACTGAACTCATGCATTAAACATTAATATACCCAGTTCACTTAACTGGAGCACTGCCCCAACTGCCTATACAGACGGGCCGTGGCTGGTTTAATACCTAATAAAGTAGCATTTATAAACACATGTTGGGGGTTGGTTGAGTTATTACGGATTTAGAATGATAAAATAGGGATGTCCTGGAAAAATGTTGGGAACCTGCTATAGAGGACAGGAAGGGTGTCAAACCTACATTGAAAACAATATAACAGTGCAACTTTGGATGGATATAGTAAAAACTGAACAAAACAAAAATACATTGAGCGTTTAAGAAATATTTACTACTACAGTATGTCAGGCAAATTCATATATCAATATTGTCAGTTAGGCTATTGTCATTTTCTCATGTCTCCATATCAAAGTGCTTTATAGTTCCTCAGAAGAGACAAGAATATGGATAAAAACAAACAAACAAAACATCTAAAAACTTCCAAGTGAACAATCTGATGGTTGTTACTACAGCATATCATATTATACTGATCATTGTACTGATCCAAAAAGTGAGGGGAGGAAGGAAATGTAAACGTACATTAACAGTACCCTACACTACAGCTGACGATTACCATACATCAGGGGAATTATATAAACAGAGATGTCATCCCCACAGCCAAGTCGATCATTGCTGATTCGCCAGCCCTGGTCCCTGAGAACTCCTCTGGCACGCATTACCAGGTCTTGGGCTGCCATTGTGTACCTGTGAAGGAAACACACAGTTAAATGCTATGCTATGCTATTTGCATTAATTCAATATCAATAGACACTGAGGAGGACATGTAGTATCTGATATTCTTGATGCTGCTCTGCTGCACTGTATGTTGTAAAATGTTACAAAAATGTTATATTTTTAGACCCGTCAGCAGTCTAACAGTGTGAATTCCAGTGTGATGCTTCAGTTTTAATGGAGAAAGAGTGCAAGGTAAGATATATGCTAATTGTTTTACGATACAAATTGTAAATGACCAGTGCCACAAACTACTCAACTTTTTGCCATTTTGATTTTGAACTGAAAATATGTAATTTACATGAATCTGATTCATTTAATTCATTTGAATGTGCCGAGACAGCTGGTTTCAACTTATTATTAAGAGTGAATGAGTGCATATTTTAAAATAAAAATATTTTTTGAAATTGGTTCAAATGTATGGCAATGAATTCTATTTCTTTTACTTCTTTTCTTTACTCTCTAAAATCCCTTTTAAATCCTAGGTCTCAGTCAATTTGTGATCCTTTCGTCAAATTTCATGCGGCCCCCTAAATTGTGAGGCCCTGTGTGATCACACTTCGCACAGCCCTTGCGACAGCTCTGTATATAAACATAAAAACCTGTGAAGGTCATCAGGATCACAGTTGACCAGGAATGAGGTGACAGTCTCTGCTACTTCCTCATTGGAAAGGACATCCCACAGGCCATCAGTTCCCATCACCAACACATCATCTGCTCCATGCTCATATTGTGTCAATTTATACACTTTCACCTGCAGAGAAAGTATAGCTCAATACAGTAAAGTTTCAGGCTGGTGATGTAAAAAACACAAAACGAGAGATCCAGATAGTGAGTTTGGCATGCCAAATCCAGTAAGCCTGTAGTCTGGTTCTCCAGGGAATGGGGCATCCTGCTTGAGACAGAGGAATTGGACAGTGGGTAGATCCATCAGTGAAGGAGAAGAAACAAAAAAGGAAAAAACTAATGATGACTACAAACACAGGCAAAAAAGGAACAGGGAAAACCAAAATGCAAAGAAACTAAACAGACCAAGACCATGACAAGTACCTGTTTTTAAAATTATTTTCAAAACATTTAAGGCACCCTCTATAATGCATGAAACTGGGCTATTCAATACAGGTCAACTCTGACAATAGTATGGCACAACAGTCATGTACATGCTTATAGTTAACACCGACATAAACATGTGACTGGGTTTTTTGGTAAGGTGGGCTTTAGACAGAGAGAGCTAGAAACAGAGAGAATCACATTTGTTGTATTGTAGTTTACATGACTATAAAATTGTTGTTATAATATCAGAGGCAGATATGTTATGCTGAAAGAGTCAAATAACACCTATGCATCAACTTAACTTACTGATTATTACTTTTCAATGGTTCTGAATTCTTTATCTGCCAGACAACATTATAAATACAATATAACTATATCTAAATCCAGAGAATCGCTTAAACCATCATCATATCACAATATAAATGAGCAACATCACACTTGTAGCCTGTGATGGCCTGCCATATAGGGCAATATTGCAAGGCTACAAGTGTGAATCGATTAAAAAAAGCTTATTGTATTGTAGAGCAGAGAATTATGAGAGAGCGATCGACTGAGCGATTGTGATCTCATACACCATTAATTTTTCAGCTCAATCTCATATTAGTTTGAATCAAAACATTAGTTTGAATGTCCACTAAGAAAGTCCACTATCTTTGACGTAGTATCCTTTCAACTGTTGAGGGGTTTTCTGATGATTTGTTACATTGTCAATGCATCTGTTGGTTGCGTCTTACAAGTTGTTTTTGAAAGTAAAAATAATGTCTTTGTTTTTCAACCTTGTTTCAGTCTCTATTAATATAAAAGTCTCCTACTGACTCATTAAGATCTCATTAAGTCTCTTGTGACCATCTAATGATGTAAGACACAGACCATTTCTCAACACCAAATAATATTATTAAATACTACAATTATTAATATAAAGTTTTATTTATTAAACAATAATATTTATTATACTACATGCAGTGAATTGCTTGAATGGCGAACATAGTTCCAGACAGACCTTGACCGCATCCAGACAGATCTTGACCGCATTATGTCCATTATGTCCATATCACTTTGCCAAATGATTTCAGTTATTTCAAAGGTCCTTACAGCTTACACCAGCAAAAGAACCAAACCCCACAACGACACTGACCAAGCAAATAAATACAGTAAACAATAGGATAAAAACGACAGATTATTTCCATCTTTTTTCAACAAAATTACGTTTTATTATGTACGGAAAACACATACTCTATTTCTTCCACTCTCTCTGCCTAACAGATGTACACACAAACAGTTTGCACACACAGAAACATACGCACTAATGTTGTTAGCGCTACTCTCACAATTTTATCAGTTTTCGTGCAAAACTTGATCTCATTTGACCTTAATGTTTGCCGTTACTGATACTAATGTATATGTATTCTGAAGAATTCTGTGACGTTTTCAGGCCGGAGCGGAAAATCTTTATGTAGCAAATTAGCTCAAAAGGGAAATATTTATAATTAATTATAACTGGTTATAATTAATAATAAATATTTAGATGAGATCTTAGAATTAACAATAGCAGAATCAATATTATAATTATTTGATCTGTCCGTCCACCGAGCAGACAATATAATCATTTATCAATTCAAGGAAAGATTATTTTCCTGGCCAAGGAACAATAAATAGCTTTTCCTACTTTTATGCAGTACTAGCAGTAATTTAGCATGTAGCAACATTCAACATTCAACATTCAGGTTCAAGGCTCAAAGGTTCAACATTCAGTGACCCCGAATTGTGAGCAGCACACAGAGGCAATCAATTGTGAATATAAGGGATTTAATAAATGAAACTACAGCTAACATACAACAAGACTAAGCAAAACACATATACAGAATGAAGAAAAGTAAGGAAGAGAGAGAGAAGAGCAAAAGAATGGCAGTATTTCACATCAACCACAACCTAATGAGAATCATCAAAGAATCAAAAATCACCTTAAAAGGGGCTCAAACTT